GCAAATCTACTAATCCTTGTCTAATTCCTTCCCTCGCTTAGTCTTAGTTTTAGAACCTGTAAAATGATAACCATGGGGTGAGATAAAATTTCAGTAACTAAGATAACCTATATTATTAATTAACATGCCAAGTTATAGACAAGCTTAAATCAAGTAAAAATGAGCACAACATACAAAATCACCACAAGTCATATACATGATCCCTAACCATCCAGTCCTTTAATACTCCTGACTGAACCGGTAGGCTATTTTATAAAACCAAACCACATGTATGGTCCCCAAACTCACCATTCATGATAGGACTATCTAACTAAGGTGTCCTAAACCACTTCTGGACTACTAGTTCCCCTTATTACAAGTAATTGGGGTGTTATTACTCTAACACTACATACTACGGATGCTAAGGAGCATATTCTCCAACTCTGCACCCTTTTAGGTACTAGGGAGAGTAAGTCTCCAATACTGCACCCACTTTATGGGGCACTAAGGAGAGTAAATGCTGCACCTGACATCTCGAGGTGCCAGCAGTGCCATATGGACTTAATCTTCATATCACACCCCGATATTAAAGGTATGACTGGCATGAAATATGAAATGATCTCATATTTCATAAGCCTTGATCAGCTAGGGATTAAGCTAAAATATTCATATTTAAGTTATATATAATAATGAATTTTGTAAATTTTTAAACATTTTGTAGAAGTTTTGGCATAATTCCCACTGTAAGTTAAACCCCCTGAAATTTCTACAATACAAAAATCTATCAACCAATCTAGGAAATTGCATACCAATAAAAAAAAACTAGGACCTAATTATGGTGTACATGGAGCATTAAATTACAATCATATAATAATACATATTATCACTAAAAGAGATAATTACAGTGTGCTTCCTCCTTCCAAGAAGAAATAATAGGACCTCTCAAAGATCTATAGAAGGTGCAAGGTTAGTTATAATAGCTGAGACCAAAAATTTTTAGTGAGTAGCATTCCAATCAAAATTTAAATTTAAAAAAATATTATGAAGATAGTAACTAATACTTTTAGTTTACAATGATTAAATGGAAAAATGAAGCATATATTTAAACCAATAATAAAGAACAAGTTTTTTTTTTCAATAATACAATCATGAAATTAAATAATGCTAACAAAACAATGTAACCTTATCAAACTTTGTACTGCTCATAAAACATAAACATTTCAAGCAATAGTATAATTAGGTAGAATGCTTTTAGACAAACGATATAAAAATGGTACATTTTACTTAATTTGGGAGGGCTTTATTAGAATGAATAACAAGCATGGACACACAGTCCACGAGGGTAAGTAACCAATCAAGCGTGGCTAAAAGCCATAAAACAGTGCTGCAAGAGCCATGGATCAAGCACAGGAATGATACCCACAAAAACAAGCATGAGTACAATGCTCACAAATTACCATCCCTCTGATCCGCATGCGTTGGCCTTCGCACAGGGCTTGCACCTCCCATAAACACCTTGCTAGCTAGGTGTACTATGGTGTGCCAAGGACTAACGGAACTGTCGTTAGCAACCAGCATTCTAAACTCAGTCCCCCTCATTAAAATTAAGTGTGTATGGAGAAGAAAGATAGTTTTAAAATTCTCACTTTCAAATATTAATCAACTATCTTTTTTCATTACCCAAAATTATCATCATTTCCTCCAATTTTAATCGAACAGTTAAATCATATCTAAACCAATCTCATTAGTTAGTATACAAGCTAAGCTTCATGTAGGTGCTTGAATCACTCTAATTGGATGTCATATGTGAAAACAGCATGCACTGAAAGTTTATCATTTTTGCTGTCAAAATGATAGCAAAAATACAAATAGGCACACCAAAGCACATGGTGACACATGCCGCGATGCACTGCACAGCAAGGGCAAGCTTGTGGCTCTATGCCACATACTGCGATGCACTGACCTCCTGCCATGGAATACGTACCAAATTTTATTTTTATTTTTCTATTGAAATGTATGCAATTGGGATAAGAATGCTGGTGGATTATGTCTACTATGTAATTAAGGAATGTATGATTTTCTTCTGCTGTGTTTTTCTCTAATTATGTTGTGAATTGATCAATTTTACAAAATAAGTCTTCAACCGAAGCTTTTGAAATGAGATTTTATTATTGTGATTGATGCAAGGCAGTGGTAACACTGTAGTCTTCTTTTATATTGAGTGAATATAAAAGGAGGTTATAGGAAACTTACTCAAGAGTTTAAAATCCTAATTTATCTTCAAAATTCTCCCAAAATGACACCTTAGTAATGCCCAAATCTTCTTCCTTTGATTCTTAGGTCTTTTCACCACAAAACTGACTTTTTCTGATGATTTTCATTTTTTATGCTATCTATACTGTGGCGTGCGCTGCCACAACTCATGACTCAGTAAGCAAAATGTCAATTTTGCACCCCTTGATGCCACCCAACTTGATCTGACTTCCATCTTAACTCAATTTAAAGCAAAATATGACCCAAAAAGCTAATTAGCAACCTAAAAATATAATTAAATTAATTAAACATCTTTTTAACTAATTTATTCCTTAGTTAGTCAATTTTTCCATATTTAAAGTTTTTGGATGTTACAGGTAACCTTTCTAGTGATAGAAGGGTTAAGGTAACTGAATAACTTCTTGTGTTTGACTGTTTATTGTAACTGTATGTTAGTATGCTATGTAGTGCATGAAACGGTTTTAAACTAAGTATGTTTTATAGCATTGAGTGATTATTGTGTGAAATGGATTTTGGTTGAAATAAAGCATTGAAATTTGTGATTTCTAATGAAGAGTATTACATGTATATATTGTGTGAGAGAAAGTGTGAAATGGTAAATGGAAACCTTAAATGGTTCGGGAAGGCATGATCATAGGGGTGGGAGTTCACCCGAGTGTAGTAGATGATAAAGACCATATGGTAAGATTTTCTTAGTACCCGTTAGGGTGTAGTGTTGGAAACAATTCTCCTTAGTGTCTTGAAAGGTGTGGTATTAAAGAAGATCTTCTTAGTGCCTATTGAGGTATAGTGTTTAGTATCTTTGCAAAGTGTGTTGGAGTTAATGACACTCTATTGTGTGTATTGGGGAAAACCATAGTCCGTATTATGCATTAGAACATCTTTGGTTGGGTGATTCTACCACTGCAAGTGAGCTGAAGACTAATGAGAGTGTACATTAGTCTAAGATGAGCCTATGGTTTCATGTTGGGGTGGTTTGGAGGTTCGGTTAGTAGAAATCATGCTAGTATGTTATGTAATATGATGAAATATGTCGAAATAACATGGAATCCTTTGTGATTGATGAAAAGTTGAGAAAGGAAATGAGATATGTGACATAAATGCTACTTTATGAGGTTTTAATGATATACAATATTTATTTTTATATTGTTGTATGTGATAGTCAAAAGGAGTGAGTTATTCTGTTACTGAGATTTTTATTTTACCCCCATGGTTACATGTTTATAGGATCGAGAAGTGATCAAGGCAGGGAAAGAGAGTATAGATTGACTTGAATTGTAAAGCCGTGTACTCTGAGTTTGTGTAATGAACTAAACTGAGATTGTTTATAGTAGTATAATTAAGTTGCGAGAGGGTTGCATGCATGTTTTGAATTGAGATTTTATGAAATCAAGCTTGAATATGTGTATATGTGTTATTTGAAATAAAAAGGCTATAATTTGAGTGTATTGCATTGAAATGATTTTGTGTTAGTGAATCTTAAGTTAAGAGACAAATTATGATGAAATGAGTAATTTGAGGGCTAAGATTGTATTGTGAATATGATTGTATATATGGGTTGAAAAATAGTCAAGTGAGCTAAGTTATGCCAAGAAATAGTAAAGAGTGTAAAGTTAGTAAATTGTGAAAATTGGCCGTAGAGGGGTCAAATTTTGATATATGAATATGATTGTGATTAATTATGGTCAATTAGGTGTATTAAATCCTTTTGGATTTAATTCAAGGCCTAGTGTGGTCTAATGAGAGTAAGAGATTGATTTGAGCGCATGGTTGCGCAAATTTTTTTAGAAAAAGTGACTTTTTACACCCAGGTGTTCAAATTTTAATTAGACCTTTAGATCATGTCCAAACCTATCTCACTAGTTAGTATACGAATTAAGCTTCGTGTGGGCTCTTGAATGACTTTGATCGGATGTTGTATGTGAAAACGGAATACACCAAAAGTTTGTTATTTTTGTTGTCAAAATGACAGCAAAAATCCAGATAGGTGCATCGCAATGCATGGTGACACATGCCATGGCACACAGTACAAAAAAGGTGAGCGTGTGGCTTTATGCCACATGTTGCGGCACACGAACCAAATCTCAATTTTTTTTTGTGATGTAATGCATGCCATTGAAATAGGAATATTGGTAGGCTATATCCATTATGTATTAGAGGAATGTAAGATCTACTTCTGCTATATATTTTTCTAATTATATTGTAAATTGATTAATTTAATAAAATAAGTCTTTGGCTGAAGCTTTTGAAATGAAATTTGATTATTGTAATTGATGTAAGGCAATGGTAACTTCGTAATCTTCTCTTATATTATGTGGATATAAGAGGAGGTTACACCGATGACATGGAAAATAATTGACTAGATATGATTAAATAGTAAAGGTAACTAGGGAAAAAAAACTTTTTTAAATTTGGCTAAAACAAAATGTGAGAGATAAAGGTAAGATTAAGTACAGATAAGCAAAGGGGTTAACAAAATTAAATACATTTCAATAAAATTAACTTCATTGATGTCAGCTCGTGGTCCTTGTATGCATTTTTAAATCTATAGGGACTAATATTGTATACAAATCAAACTTAAGGGACTGAGAATAATAAAATAAAACTATAAGGATTAAAAGTAATGTACAATCCAAGTACGAGAACCTATTATTATATTTTCCCTTATTTTACTTTGGAACTTATTTTTATATACAACAGGCAAGTTGGGCACACACAAAAATACTGAACGAAAAGCATGTTAAAAAAAAAAAAAAAACAGAACGAAGCATCGCAGACCAAGTAGAGAACCAAGAGCCAAAGCTCAACCTGGAAATCACACATTTACAAGAAATTTGAAGAAATAATGCGACATTCTTGCATTGCACGAACTCAAGCCAACACCAACACCAAACCCCTCCACAGCTTAATTAAGAATACACTAAATTGTGTGGATTTTAGACACTAAAGAACAACCACCACCAGCATTTACAGTACAAATATTACTACTACAGCTTGAATATTCCTCTCTTACGTTGTGAGAATACTTTGCTTCTTCAAAGAGATTCAAGGAAACCAGTCTTTGTGAGAACAGCATTCCTCACTTCGCTGAGATCCCTACCTTTGAGTGTTCTTCCCACTCCTTCAAGTACAGAAAATGATGATATCTGACTCCTTGCAAGCCTTCTAGCAATAAATTCATGTGGAGGTAGCCTTGCATCAAATTCATCATCATTTTCAACATCTTCTTCATCATCGTCGTCGTCGTCGTCATCATTGTGACAATAATGGTCTAAACCATGATCATCATCACACCTGGAAACATAATCCTCATTGGCAGTCTTGGTCTTTTTGTTTGTCCTGTAAATTTTTGACCAGTCAGGAATGCTGACAGGTGCAGATTGGTGTAGAACCACCTGCGTTTTATGAGAGGAACTGGTACTGATACTACTGTTATTGTTATTGCTGCTAGCAGCAGCCATTATTGGAATCATTTTTGCTGCTGTTGGGAGGGGTCTGGGGACAGCAATTGGAGAAGGCGATGATGATGTTACAACCTTGGACTTGGAAATCCCATGATGATCATTTCTGTCTTTCATAACATCCCACACTTCTTCTTCCTCAAAGTCTCCATCTCTCAGGAATGTCCATATCCCACTGCGGTGCTTAACTATACCATGACTGCCGCCATACTTATTCTCCATTTAGAATCCCCTGCATAGCCCAAATCACACCAACAATTGTTTTTTTTAAAAAAATATTTCATACTACCATTTAAAATTATGGGGTTTTTTCCAACTTCTTCAATTCGTTAATTTGAAGAAGAACAAGAAGAATTAGAGCCTCAGGAAGGGTTGTTCATTAGTGATAGGAATTGAAGAATATACCTTGACTAAGGATTCTGATACTCGAATAGGTTCAACTTTTCTGCAGATTCTAAAGTCGCGGGTTCTATTTCTGGACCTTCCAAAGCAAAAATCAAGGGAAATCAGAGGGAGATGAGTCACATGTCTTTAATTCAGATGCCAGTATTTTCAGTTCGACCAAGATTTTAGTTTCCTACATAATTCTCCTGCTTTCAAAGATTTTGCTTACCTCAATATATCCTCGAAGGTTATGAACTCAATAAAAAGGGTCGAATCTAAGCCGATGCAGAGTAAGAGGCTGTAGAAGGAAGTAAATGGCCGAAGCGAAGTCCCAAAGAGCAAAGAATAAGACAAACCTCTTTTTTGATCGGAGAGATCCCCTGACTGATGTATTTAACAATTCCGTCGAAGGTTCGGCCCAAAAAAATGAAAAAAGAAAAACAATTCTGTCGGAGGTAAAAATGGCGGTAATTCAGTAAATTTTTCACTTTTTGATTTTTAAAGGCGCTGAAAAAAAAAAACAATAATAACAGAATAAGAGATGTTGAAAGGCTAATGGTTTATTAGTATTTATTATGTTTCAAACTATAAGATATTTTTCAACAGATTTAATATCTCAAAATATAAAATAGTTTGATAAAATTATGGATATAATAATATCACTTTTTTAATATTATCATTCTTAATCTATTCTCTTTTTAATATCATTTTATAAATGAAGTATTAATTAAGAATATTTTTTAAAATTTATAATTTGTTTTAAAAAAATAAAATTATAAAATATATTTTATAAATTTTATTGATATATCTAATATTTTTTAAAAATGCTTTATAATTTGAGAAGGATAATGCGCAAAGCAGCAAGCAATGATTAATGAACACACTGTTTTAGTTTCTGGTTTTTACCCTATTTATGTCTGTTCCATGACTAAATAATCATGTCTTTTTTCCGTTTTTCACGTTCCTTTTATGGCTGTTTCTTTTGTATAGTCTCATATATGTATATATATATATATTAAAAATTTATTATTTAATTCTTATAATTTTAATTCAGTTATAACTCACTTTTTAAACTTTCACTTATTATAATTAAGTCTTTATAATTTTAACTTCATTGTAACTTAATTTTCTAACTTTGACTCAATACAATCCAATTTTTATAGTCTTATTAATTTAAAATGTTAATCTTTATATTTTAGAAAATAAAATTATAAATATTAAATTTTTTTAAATTTTAATCCTTATCATTTTACAAAGGTTAAAAGTTTTAATAATTTCTCATATTAGTCCATAAACTTTAAAACAATGTTAACCTTTATAATTTTATTTTTAAAAATATAAGGATCAATATTTTAAATGATTAACACTATAGTAACTAAGTTGCACCAAATTTTTTATAAATTGAGTTACAGTCAAATTAAAACTATGAAGATTAAATTACAGCGAGTTAAAATTTAGGAATTAAATTATAATTAAATCAAAATTATTGAAATTAAATGATTATTTTTTCTTATATATATTAACTTTACCGAGCCTCATGGTGAGTTATGCGCGACTTAAAATGGATGAAAAGAAAGACGGACACAAAATGTAGACGGACGTAATGCAGCCACTTGGCCATATCTTCTACACAAGGACATAACTGGTTTTTCAGTTATATTTTGGTCCTTCAACATAATAAAAAATTTTATGGTCCTTTATAAAAAATAATGATAGTTGTAGATCCTTCCGCATAATTTCCTCATATATCAGTATTTGAAACAATGGTAGATACGCTGGTTATTCTAAACAATTGATATTATACAATAATAAATGTTTGAGTTTGAGGATTGATGTTAAAATTGTGTTAATAAGCAATGTGTAAATTAAATATTCATTTAAGGTTGGACCAAAAAAAAAATTTTAAGACTTTTCTACTTTAACATGAATTTCAGATATCAAACTAATTAAACATTAAAAAAAAAAACTTCAGTTATGTGTGATCGTGGATGGAACCATGGCTTTTTATAATTGTTTTGTTTAGACCACTATATAGTGAAATTTAAAAGATTTAATATTAAAATATAAATAAATCACATCCTTTAGAGTTTAGAATATAAAAATAAAATATGTATTTCATATTTTATTCTCACTTATTTGAACCCTTTTAATATATAAAAAATATCAATTTCATTCGAAAAAAAGGTATGTGACTGAAATTATGTTAGTACAGAAATCAAAATACTGGCATTTTTGTGAATGAGCGGCTTATAGAGAAAGATTGGTCAATATGTTGTCATGGAAGAAGACAATTTGTCAATTTTCTGAACACGAAGATACAAAACAGAGCTGCATGTGAATTTAATTTTTGAAAATTATAAAATCTTTATTGTTGATAAAATGTGTGACTTATTCATATTTGGTATAACTATATATGATACATTGTAATTTTTCTTCCTTTTCTTTTCTTTAATTTTTTTCTTTTGATTTTATTAAATTTTTTATAATTTCTTAACTTTGAAAATATATTAAAATTTCCCTCTCTTTTTAAATTAATTAAAAAATTATTTATATAAAATGAAATTGTACATGAACCAATTTTAATCACATCATTTAACAAGAGCATAATGTTTTTCCAACCATTATATTTTTCAGTTTAAAGCCATACAAATTATCGATCAGGAAAAAAAACAATACAAATTAAATGTCCAGATTGAAATTAAGTATAAATTCTGCTTTTCTTTGTCTGAAAATTTAGTATAAAATTAAAAATATATTTTTTCTTATTAAAAATTTAAAATAAATGAAGGAATAGGTGAATTGATGCCTGGTATATATAAAAATAAATGAAGCAATACACATGCATGGATTTTGCGTATGCATATTATCAACAGGAGAAAAATAAAAAACAAGATAGAAAGATAGAAAAAGAAAAAGAAAAAGAAAATTGTCGGTCAAAATAACTTGGCAAAAAAGATGAGGAATTTAGGATTTTGGTTGTTTCGTGGAAGACGACAAACAAGCCGCCATTCAATGCATTTGGCAGAGCGCATGAATCTGGACTTTATTTTACTTTATTTTGCTGGCAAATCAAACAAACGTGCTCATTAGTTTCGTTGATGCCCTGGTGATGTATTTTAGAATCTCAATGAGATAAGGAATCTGCAAAACTTTTCATGCCTGTCGGCCGAATCCACTTTGGATTCTTTCTAAAATAGAGAAAAATATCAGTAAAGCCCTCATGTAGTATAAATTTAAAAACGAAGATAATTTTTTTTTAGAAAAATACGAGGAAATCCCTTAGCAAATGATAAATATTATCACCAAATGTAATAATTACTTCAAAATCCATAAGAACTAATTGACATATATTTGGCAAAACTATTTTCTGACACTAAGCAAGATAATTAAAAAAAACATAATAATACTCACAAGATATACAGAACTTATGATTTAGGGATTCAATCGTCATTGTCCCACAAATTCTTGAATTGACATTAGGGGCCCAGGCATTTTTTTTTAAAAAACAAAGTTAGATGTAAAATAGCTTATTGAATAACTACAATACCGTCAAGATCAAACGTGCAGCCTTTCACTTATGTAAGATCTTTCATGCCATTGGCTAGGGATCTAGTAAAAAAGGCTAGGTAGCACATCACAACTTAATAAATTAATGTTTATATTTTAATTAAAAATTTAATGTCTCACCACGATTACCTACAAATAATAATAAAAAAATACATATTTACCCTTAATTTGAAATCAAGAGGACATAAAAATATGTATATATATAAAACTTCCCCTATTATCGATAGAAATAATTACTGGTGCACAAACTAAGTGCACTTCCCGCTATCTGAAGATGGAGGCTGATTTCTATTCAGTACGGAGAGATTTGACAACAAAAATCACGCACACAAAAGAAACAGGCTACTGGAAATACGAAAGGGATACCCACTTTGACGCACAAAACTCACTAATTAACATCAAAACTCATAGAAAACAAAAGAAAATGAGGATGAAGGGTGACCTTTCTCTATCACCAGGTCTGCTGTTTCAGAGACCATGCACTCCTCTCAGTCTCTCCCTCACAAGTCACAATATTCATATTCATGTGATAAAAGAAAAAGATCCACACGGCGACAAATAGAAGCTATGCTTGGCCGACGTCAGAATCAAAGAAAGCAAAAGTAATGGGTACGAGAGTAATATTGGGCCTCCAATGACAAAACCAACCCAATTTTGTAATAAAAATAAAAATATAAATCAATGGGTGTTGAGTATGATAAAAGAAGTTATCCTTTACAACATGATAAATTAATATTTAAATATGTTTTAAGAAAGGTATCAACATTTAGTGTCAAATGATATTTCAAATAAGATCATCTCTAATAGAACACTTGTAAGGGAAAAAAGAAAGAAAATAATATGGGAGAATGATAGGTTTTAGAATACTAAATTAATGTCCTTGACAAAATTTAAAAAGAAAAATGAATTATAAATACCAATTTAGACATTTGTATGGAGGATATATAATTTAGGAGCTACGCTTGAAGCTTAAGTATTTTAATTGTAATTGAAAATTTTGAATTTGCATCTTTTGAATTGACATTAGAACTCATTTAAAAAAAAATTACCAAAAATATAACTATTATTAATTCAAAGTTTTGGGTCCTAAATGTCATTTTCTCGTAATATAAACAAATGTGATGAGTTAGCAAGGCAGGGGGAGATTGCATTTGATTTTTACAATTATAGTGGAGGGAGGCAAGCTTCGAGAGCAAGTTGAGACTCAAGTGGACATCTAAGACATTTAAGATCTGTATGGTTTCTATTTTTAAAATTTTTTTATTTTTTAAAATAAAAAAATTTAAAATTTATTTAGATAAGTACTTTTCATATAGTTGTTTCTAAAACTATTTTTATTTTATAGTTTAAAAATAAAGAAAATAATAATTTTAAGTTATTTTTATTTTATTTTTTTTAAAATACACTATATTTGATTATTGAAAATTGTAATTACATTGACCAATTTTTATTATTAATCACCACCATTAGCTGCTTATAATCATTACTATCAGTTTATTTTTTAATTTTAAAACTGTTTTTCAATTGACATAACTAAATGAGTTTCTTTTTATTTTATTTTAAGAATAATTTTAAAAACTGTATTATAAAATAATTTTTAAAAATAGAAAATGAAAACAGAAACTAAACAGATTCTTAATTTCTGTTTTTAAAATTTTTTTTTTATTTTAAAAACAAAATATGGGAACACAATCAAAGTCTAGTCTCTTGAATGCCAGCAAGTACGGTGGCTTTCTTTCTTTTCCACAATTTATTTTCAACCTGCAAAGGGTTCCATTTTTTACGGTGGGTAATTTGACAG